TGTGTTTCTGTGTGTCTTGGTTCGCTGCTTGGTTCTGGGTTTGTGGTGGGTTGGTTCTGGAGGCGTTTTCCATCCTGCAGCATTTCGTTGCAAGACCATCCTGCAAATAGGATCTCCCAACTGAATCGGGGGGCCCCGTGTTGACCGCAAATCTGCCAACATTGGCAGGAACGAATTCCGTGCCAACACGAAAAACGCCTGCCGAACCTACTTATAGAACCAGATATCAATTCCAAAAAAGGGTTAGCACAGCAAGTACAGCTCTTCCCTCTTCCCAAAGGCTAATACGAAGCAGCACTTAGCAGCGCACCCGTAGTGGTTAACCCCAAGGGATCTACGAGGCTGGGCACCGCCAGTAGCATGGATGCAGCTGCAAGTGCTGCTGCACGTGCTGCTGCCAGCCTTCCGAGCTCGGCTTCGTTGCCGCCTTGCGAGACGGGCGATAGTGGCGCCCCGGTGACCACCTCGTTAGCCACAGCAGCGTCGAGTGCAGTCTCGGATGAAAGTGGTGCACCCACGACCTCGCTAGGCTTGACGTGGAGTGATACTGATGCGCCTATGGTGATAGATGACGAGGCAGCGCCTTACAACGGCAACTCAGCAGCAACACGGGGCGAGGACAGCACTAACGGCGGAAGACACGATGGTGTCGACGAGGACGCGAGCGCCTCGCGTCCATCTCTCGAAGGCGACGTGCCGGCAGCCGAGTTCAATAAATCCGAAGGTGACGTAAAAAGCAGTTTTGTTGTTGTTTGTTGTTGTTTCTCACATTAGCTCTAAAAAAAAAAGATTGGGATGTGGGTTGGTTCTGGAGGCGTTTTCCATCCTGCAGCATTTCGTTGCAGGACCATCCTGCAAATAGGGTCTCCCTTGAAATGGTTGCATGTATGTGCGGGGACGCCTCGAACTCCAAAGAGAGCTTCACTTCTCCCTACTCCCCTTGCGTGTCTAATACAAGAGATAAATCGTCTTCCCCTTCCAAGTAAAGGACATATACGAACAGAAAGCGTCGCGTAATTTCGACTGACGGCATGCGTGCGCAGCAGAGGTAAAATTGTTTTGTGCTCGAGTATGTATGACCCCTGGTCGTGGTTTCTGCGTTCGAGTAGGCGAGACTATGCGGTAGACTATGCATTTTGTATGCATTGGAAATAGATATAGACAATAGACTATGTGTGGCGTAACGGTATGGTTTAGCCGGGATCATTGAACAACGAGAAAAAGGTAGGCTCCTCGCCATTCGTTTCTCCGGGAAGGGGCGGGTTATGTTTCGCGTATCTTCGATCAATGGTCTCGTCATTCAGCGTGGCGTTTGAATCTCCGTTTAGACTGCAAGCAAGGTGGTAGTAGACTAGATCATCCTTCACCAGGTACATTCTCTTTGTACCCACTATCGCTTCTCAACCTGTGTTGTCATTTTCTTGTCGTGTGCTATGGCACTTTTCGTCACTTGACGTTGCTCCTGTTGCATGCCCGTTCACTCACCCCTTGCGCTGTTTATTGGCAGTTCCGACCATCACGTCCAACGGACTATCCTTTCTAGGCGCTGGTCCGAAGTCATCAAATGTGGGTACCACGGACACCCTCCAACAGCAGGCATCCACAGAAACTTATATTGCGATTTGACGATCGTCTTGTCCTAAAGAATACCAACAACATCAGGCGGCTTTCAGCGTCACAGGCACACGACGAAGGACCTTTTTCTCTAGGGCTTCTTCGCGCACTTGTCAAAGTCGTAAGGGGTTCTGGTGCGAGCATGTGTCGAGTCTTTCGTGCGTGCAAGCCGGTGGTACTGAAACACACGACCAGGATTCGTACGCAATTGGAATATGATGTATCTCACCGTCGAGCATGCATCGCAGGCGGGTTCGACAGCTCCGGCATCAACGAAGTATACATATTGTGTTTTCAGTGCTGGCATGGTTGTGGGTCCTATGGAACAGTGCGACGAAGTGGAGTTCAAAGTGCTCTGGCGGCGGTACCGAACCCAGGGTGCAAAGGAGCCGCCGACAAGGCAAGGCAGGTTTGGGGGGACGTAAGAAATAGATGCACAAGCAATACTGCTAGTATACCGCGTCGAAATGGGGTAATTAATGTCCTAGCTGGGTCAAGGCTGTGCCAACGGTTTTGTGTTCGTTTCAAAGTTTAGAAGTGTCGGCTGAGTGAGTTTCGAACGCAACCTGGTGGTGCTGTCTGCATAGAACGGTTGTAAGCAAGCCTAACGTTTGATAGATGCCGACGTATTCCAACGCCTTGGCTTACTTCTCTCTGAGAGTCCAAAACAGACCGGCACACATAACGGCGACGAAGAGATTCGGGTGTGCGCACACCTGCATCCGCGGTTGTGTACATCGGTGTGTTCCTGTTACCTTCTGTACAGCAGTAGCTTGGCCGGTCTCTTTCGTTGATGTCTCAATTAACGCAATCTTTCGACGCCGTCCTTCATCCTTTTCGGCTGCATGTGTGCACGCACACACAAAAAAAAATGGTGAGCTTGGTAATTGCGAGAGTCTGCACCCATGTTCGAGCATTCACCAGCGTTGTACGCATTCCTAACCAAGAAGAAAATGTACCGGAAAACAACCACGGATCCCACACTTATCGGTAACGATCGCAAGCTCAACGTCTCACCCGCGGATTGAGTCGCCTCGGAATTTCAATGACTCGAGGGTTTGGTGAACCAGCCGCGGATAAGTACGGCGGTTCCCCGCTCAATCAGCCCCCTTTGCCTGAAAGGGTTGTTCGAGGCCTACACACCACCAGCCTCCCCCCTCAATGCCGGAATGGCGCTGGCCTTCGGAGCGCACGGATACCCCTATAATCTTTCGCGGATCTTCGCCGAGAGCCGGCTTCAATTTTGTCTTCACAAGCAAGTCGTTCGCAGTGGCGTTGTCGTGACTTTTCAAGGCTATGGACCGGTGCGGAGCTCCCAATGTGTGTGTGACACAAGCCCGTTCCTTTCGGACCGGAAACCGCGTAGGGCTGGATACAAGAATGTCAGTGAAATTCGTCACGGCTCAACATTAGCCGACATGATCGGTATTCAAACCCGTACCAAAATTTAGCGGGCGGAACTCAACCCCACACTTCACACCTCGAACTGAGCAACGCAAATCACAACGGTAATGCGTGAAGTCTCGAAAGAGCCTAACTGCCCGATACAAGCAAATACCCAACGTCCGAACTCATCTCAAATTTCACGCCGAATTCGGAGCGGAAATCCGAGCTTCAAACTCAACCTTCCTCCATCCCTCAGAATGTCACACGGACTTCCAGGCCAAACTGACGTAGTTTCAAGAGATTGCAAATCATAAAACCAATTCTTGATTCACAATTCCACCTTGACTACGTAGGACTTGGATCAGTCTAGGTCGTCCTCGAAGTGGTCGACCGGAGGGTAGCAGGCATCCATGGTGTAAAACTCTTCGCCAGCGGCGTCGGCGTCAGGGCCTGCTTTTGTGGGCCAATAGTCGTACCTGTTCACGAGCCGCGCGCCACACCGCACCGGAATCGATAGGAATAGACATCGCGGGCGCAAGAGAAAGGAGGCGGAGTGAGCGGGGGGTACTCATCGTCGTGCATGCCGTAGTCGTTTCACCATTGGGGGGGGGGCGGGGG